ATAATAATAATAATAATAATAATAATAATAATAATAATAATAATAATAATAATAATAATAATAATAATAATAATAATAATAATAATAATAATAATAATAATAATAATAATAATAAATAATAATAATAATAATAATAATAATAATAATAATAATAATAATAATAATAATAATAATAATAATAATAATAATAATAATAATAATAATATTAATAATAATAATAATAATAATAATAATAATAATAATATTATTAATAATAATAATAATAATAATAATAATAATAATAATAATAATAATAATAATAATAATAATAATAATAATAATAATAATAATAATAATAATAATATTAATAATAATAATAATAATAATAATAATAATAATAATAATAATATTAATAATAATAATAATAATAATAATAATAATAATAATAATAATAATAATAATAATAATAATAATAATAATAATATTAATATTAATTAAAATACATGGAAGTTAATCTACCTATCTCTAAACTGAGAAGGCTCCACATCAAAGTACGATCTCAGTACATCAATATGAGCATAGGTATTGATGAACCTCTGGGTTGACTGCTTACCAGCCTGCCACAACTAGGAGGAAATAAATAAATAAATAAATAATGTAGAGTGATCAGTGTGTGTGTGTCTAGAGGTGAGTATCAGTAATGTAATACCTGAGTCCCTTGATATCTGCCCTCAGCTTCACCTCAAGCAGATATCTCAGTCCTCAGGTATTACATTACTTATACACACATACCTCCATCATATTAATTTCAACAAAATTGAGTCACATGCACATCCTTTGCCCACGCTAATCACTGACAAGGCCAAAAGATCAAGAATTAGACTCAAAGGATACACCAAAAGAAAATTACCAACAAACCCAAACCAAGAATTACTCTGGTTTGTTATTATAAGTACATGTCAATGAATACAATTAAGGACAACCCACGATAGCCTTTACAAAAAACTACCCTACATAAACACTGCCTGACACCGACTGGGTCATGTCTAGTACTGCTCGTGACAGCAATAGGTTCCGTAAAAACGGAAATTTTTGGAGGACGGACATTAAGAGTATCACTGACTCTTGATGGAAGCCCAGCAGTGTTCATTAATTATTGACAATATATTCAGTTTTGATTTATTGCTAAGAACTTCGTGTTGAAATTTTGCAAATTTTTTTAGAAAAAAAAACAAATTAAAACTTGCCAATTACGTTGTAAAAGGTAATAAAATTAATTAATTAAATTTAGCCAAAATCAGAATCAGCACTCTCACTCACGGCCTTTACATGATAAAGGGTCTCTAACTTTATGATGATGAGCATGATTCAAATTACAAACAATATTTTCAAACATTTTAAAATCATTTAAAGTTAATATACACACTTGCTTACATGTCCAGCCATTTCTTTACTCAGCTGTGATCTTAAATCATCAGTCAACAACCCATCACCTCCTCCTCCTCCTCTACTGGAGGCAGAGAAAGAAACATGACACAATGAAGTACATGAACAGTATTATAACTGATAGTCACACAGTATAAAATGATGTGGATACTAATGTAGTGGCAATACTAAATTAATTATTAACCATAAACGCTAGTGCTCCAACCCACGATACAAAAACTACATACACAACATAGCTATAATAGTACCGATATGAATTGAACTCTAAACTCTTAACTGTATTACCTCTCATTAGTTGATTCAGGACTGATGTTAGTCTCTAAAGGAGGAATTACATTAGTACCACTGGCTTGCTCCTGCAGTTGAAAAGATTAATAAATACAGAAATATTATATTTATTACCTGGCCCTCTCCTATATCTATATACCAATCCTGCTCTGCCTTTTCAGGACCTTTAGAATCCTGTTCCTCCTCAAGATCCGCCATGTTTATTAAGCCACGCCTTTTAAAGGTGGGGTAAAAGACGACGTCATATTACGTTTGCTGGAAAAGAGGGCGTAGCTGCTAGGGTCAAAATGGCGTCCGGTGGCGAGGGCAGAAACGTGTTGCAGTTCCTTCCTTTCAGCAGTAGCCTTGACCCGGGATTCTGGCACGAATTAGGGAAGAGGAAACTTGAAGAGTATCAGTTAAGAGAGGACCCGGTCCCTATCAGGGGCAGCTATGGCAACTACAGGAACATTAGCACTCCTTTCCTATCCCTGGATTATACTGCTTTTGATGTGGGATCAGAGCCTACTGGACTAGAATTCCCTTCTCCTGGTCTCCTACGAAACGTGAACACAATCGCCTCCTTCAACAACATTGACAAGAAGGAGTTACTTGATACCTGTGGTCGTCTCATTTTGGAGAGTATTAAAAATGGCGATTGCCTCAAAAACCCGTCACTCCTGACGTCATTCCTGTTACTCACGTACGCCGACTTAAAGAAATATCGTTTCAATTATTGGTTTGGATTCTCTGCCCTCTCCCCCTCCAGTCCATTCACTTATAGATCTATTAGTCGTTTGGATACTCTTTTTAAAGACTCCGACCTCCAGCACTTGGTGTCTCATTACGACGACTTTCAATCGGAACACAAAAGTGTTGGG